AAGTGGAACATCCTCTTGTGTTCTACTTGGGCCTTTAGCCAGTCCCAATAGGCTAGTGATGACTCCCGTATAGGATAAAACTTCATAGACGAATCAAATCAATTGAGCCTCCCAACGTCAAGCAAGGTAAGGGTTTAGGAAAATCTATGCCGAACGAGGGCAGGCACCTTGAATTTGAGGACCGCCCGTCCCCACTTGACATTACCTCTAAGCCTGCTCCGCAACGGACAAGGACCGCCTCAAGAGGGTCACTGCACAACTAATGAATCATTTAAGAGAAGAGACAATTAGGGGTGATAGAAATCTACACACCAGTAGGGCTGGGCACCGGGGTCGTGCTGGCCCATGTGGCAGACACAAGGCATGTTTTTCTAAAAAATTGATTTAAATTTTTCTAAATAAAAAGTATTCAAAAAATGAAAGTACTGTTTTTAAACATTTTCTAATGGAAAAACACTCATTCAATTAAACCAAATTAAAATAGAAGTAGAACTTGATATAATTTGAAAAAAAAAAACAAATTGCAAATAATGGTTACACGCAAATTAGACCAAAAGAGAATGTCCGATAAATTTGCTGTCTTTGATGCAGTGTCCCTCAATATAATTGGGATAATATAATGTGTCCTCTTGTTCATGTTGGGCACATTCCTTTAGAATTAATTTTTGACAAAAACCAATCATGCCTTATGACAGCTGTTTCTAAATTTTTCACAAACAAGCTAGACCTATTGTTTTCCAAGACTCCAATAATATTGTAAGTCGATGGGATGAGTAAATCAGGAGCTATGATGGATAGAATTGGAAAACTAGTAGCTCTCCTCTTCCATCATTTTAGAACATCGATGTTGCCTTTGCCAACTCTATCAATATATTTAGAGTAGTCTGTTTCCTATGTACATCTCCTATTCAGTGGTAGATGAAGACAAAGACCTAGTGAAAAACTGTGGGGTGTTTTTCTTTCTAAAAAGCAAAAACCAGACAGATTTCTAGACACTACTTACTAAGGGTTCCATCTCTGCCCATGAGGTGGAACTTGTGGTATCGAATGAACTAGCGTTTGCAGCATACATATTTCGAAACCCACTCATCACCATCTTCAATATCTATTTCACTTGAATCTCCTCACCCAGCCCAAAATTTTTGTAATATGAGACAATGAGAGTTTCAAGCCCCTCCAATACTGGATGTCAACAAAACAGACAAAATGTCCTTTTAATATTTGAGAAATTTCGCCTTCATGGTCACTAATGGAGTGACACCAATGCTACTTGCATAGCAATATATGTTCTCGCTATTCTCTTTGTAAAGTGATTAATGGACAATCAATTACCCTTTTAATTAATACATTGGAATGGCGCGTACCTAAACTTATCTCTGTTATATGTGAAGCAAAATTTAAGGGAGAGGGGGGGGGGATGATTTCAACAATACACTTTTGCACAAGAATTTCATGAATTGGTCAAAGCTTGCTATAGGTATTGTAATAAACATTTTACCTCATCGACAAACCCTGAACTGAAACTTTCAAGGTCATTTACGTGCAATCAATTCATTCTTCACATTCCAAATTTGGATTTAATTAACACTAGACATTCGATAATAATTTGCTTTTATTTGTTAAAATTAGTCAAATCCATAAATATAGTAAATTCTTTACATAATTGAAGTTATTTTATTCTTTTAGTCACACACACAACGTGCGCTCTTTTTCACACACATGGCGTACGGCCGAAAAAGGTTTTCTTGGACAAGCACCAATGAATTGAGTGATACATGTCAAATCAAGTTATCATCACTCATTAACATATGCCACGGATGGCATTAGTCCTAGCATGACTATGCGCAAGAAGAGAGTACAACTTACAAATTGTTTTTAATTCTCTACATTAGCAGATACAATAAGTCGTAGATAGATTGTTGAAAGCTTTAAAGAAAAAAGAAGAAAAAAAGAACAAATAAAGACTGTGAATTCTCGTTGTCTTTGATGGCTTGACAGGACGGGTCTTGGAGGGCACGACTTGGAAATTTCGAATCATGCTTTTAGGATTTGGAAAAGATTTAGTGCCGTTTCATTGGGAATCAAGACCATGGGATCAGTTGGGAAATTTGCGAAGAACTATGGCGTTCTACACTAGCTTTCAGTTCGAGTCTAAGCTCTTATTGTGCACTTCTTGTTATCCAAGCACTGGAATTCAGTCATTTCTAAACCCGTTAAATGGGTGGGTCAGGTCGGGTTTGGGTCGAATAAAAAATGGTCAGACCCAAATAGACTCATTTGACCCATTTTAACCCATTTCTATGTAATGCAAATCTAATTACCCATACCTGACTCAATTCATATTTTTAAAACACTTCCATATTTAACTCAATCTAGGAAAACTCATACCTAAACTGAAATGAGAATGCGGAATGAGTGAGGGCGAGATTGAGTGAGGGCGAGAGAGATGAGTTGGGTTTAAATCAATTGTAAACTCATTTACAACCCATTTAACATCTATATTATGTTTATACCAATTTATGATCCATTTACTAAATATAACTAACATATTATGACCCAATTACTTATACATGGGTTAAAAAATGGGTTTATGATCCATTTTGATAGGTCTAGTCATTCCAAAGCTTCAACTAGTGTAAGCTGTGTTAGTACAGGGAGGGAGCTCTTCTGATCAGGCAAGGTGTCGACGACCATGGTTGAAAATTTTCTCCAAGGCACATTCCCCACTGCCATCGTTGAAAATAATCCAAGGCTTAAATATATGCAAATTGTTTTCAATTCTCTAAAATAAACATACGCAGGTAGAAACTTTCTACTTTGGCAGATACAATAAGTTGTAGTTAGATTGTTGAATGCTTTAAACTGAAAAAAAAACAACAGATGAAGACTTTGAAGTGTCGTTGTCTTTGATGGCTTGACGGACGGGTCTGGGAGGGCATGACTTGGAAATTGTGAATCATGCTTTAAGATATGGAAAAGATTTAGTACTTTTCCATTGTGAATCCAGACCAAGAGATTCCTTTGACCGAAACCCATTGGGAAATTGCGAAGAGCTAGGTCGTCCTAAACTAGCTTTCAGAGTCTAAGCTCTTATGTGCACTTTTTGTTATTCAAGTGGGTGGATTTCTACGCCAAAGACAGAGCCCTGGTTTGTAGACGGAGTAACTTGAAGTATAATGATGTCTCTAATAACAATTTCGGTGGTCACCTACCTGTTCAAATTGGAAATTTCAAATTGATTCTTTGATCTGTCGTGGAACTCAATTTCTGGTCCTATTCCCTCTACAGTGGATGAGCTGTATCTCTGAGAGAGTTTCATCTCGAAGGTAATGAATTAAGCGGGAACAATTTCGGAATATATTGGCCGACTATCCAATCTGGAGGCGATGGACATTGATTTTTCAATGGCATTGTAAGCCAAATCCACTTGACAAATCTCAGGAGCTTGCCCGTGCTATCAGTTTTCCATAATGAAGTTGTTATAAATGTTAGCACGTCTCGGGCTCCTCCTTTCCACTTTCAAGAGAGTCTCATGTCCAGTTGCAAAGTGGGACACTAAAATTTCCAAACTGGTTTCGAACACAGAGAACTATTTCGACATTAGACATGTCATATGCAAGCATCTCAGGAGAAATTCCCGATTGGCTACCCGACTCTTTGGCTAACATTGAAGTGCTGGATCTCTTCTATAATATTGTCAGAGGCAACATTTCCCAAATTAATGAAAAAAAGATGCCGCAATTACATCCGGTGTGACTTTGCGAAAATAACCTCATTGGTGACAATAATCCTTTTGCAGCCACATTTATGTATCACTCAACGACCTCTCCTTATTAATGTGGGACTTGGGATGTCACAACCTCAATTGTCATTCAACAACAATCCTTTCTAAGCTCCATAGTCAAAGGAGTTGGGCACTGATTTTTTTTTGTAAAATATGATATCAATATAAGGAAACTGATTGAAGTTCCATCCGTGCAAGATAAGGCATGTTTTTCGAGTATATTTTCGAGGATGCAACCCAAAATCAATACAGAAAAGAAGTACTACATATCTAGTTTCTTCTAAGAGTAAGGACTTGAAAGGTAATTGTAAATACAAAAGTCATGGACGAAATCGTGATTTGGTTTTAAGGTGTCTTTATCACTTTTTGACGTTAACTCTGGTATGAATAGATTTCAAGAGACAGACTACCCTCATGATACAATTTAATCTTCTAAACTCTCGTAATGAAAACCTGTTAATGCGGAGAGAATTCAGCTAACTATATGAGAACAAACAAGTATCATGAGATGGATTCCCAACGGTCACAACCTCTGCATTAATCAAAATCTTATAAAAGTTAGAAGGTTGAACAGTTTAACAAGACAACTCAAGCCCAACATTCTATGTCAACTAGTGAAGATCCGAGGCTTTGTCTAGGGTCATCATAAAACTGATTGATCATTCAAGCAATTGAACAAAGAATAATAACAGACAAATGATCGATGCCAGTTCGTTCTTGTTTAGTCAAGAAAATAATTGCATCTGTATTCATGGTGCCTGTTGAGGAAAAGTCTCAGATTGCACTGGGATTGCTACGTATGGAGAAGACAGTGCACTTGCGGCATACTCAACATTTTCCGTTTTTGTTTTCTTTCTTTTTTTCTAAATTGCAGAGGACAGAGGGAAAGGAAAATAGAAAATAATTGCACGACATTGCTCATAAATCCTTCCGTGTTCTTTTTCCCTCGCAACACGAAGAAAAGTCGCTTTGGTGTCTTGACCATATGACGGGTCCTGCAAGGCATGACTTCATTCTAAACAAGAGAACCTCCGATGGGTATGGACATTTTCTATCTTGTCTTATGGACGTCCTTCTCAACCCCAGAGAAGGGTTAATTGCTATCCACACGCTTTCCTCCCTGGAGTTTTTCTTATTGATGGGATGTCATTTGGAAGATGCTTCAGCCTTTCCCTCTCTGCACGTCAATTTCACTTCTTTTACTGTATCCATTAGTTCCCTTTTGGCATGCAGAAATTATGTCGAAGACCATCCGATGCATTGTGCCAAAGGGAAGCCTTTATTTGCAATATACTTAATTATTGAAACCATGAAGAGATCATATAGATGTCTTGTCCTTCTGTTTGTAATGTAAAGCTCATATAGTTTCCATAGTATTTTCTTTGCACGGTTTAGTACTCTTCCTCTTTGAATCCGTCAATATCTAGCGTTAGGATACTGTCTTAGAATGTGTGGCCTTCTTCTTCCAGGGGAATACCTGGCTCTCACGGGGGATAAGCTTAATGGTGTGGAAATGGTTGCCTGCCGCTTGGCTACTCACTATTCACTAAATGCGGTTTGTTTTCAATGCACCTTTGACTGCTACTTCAGTGTTTTTTTAACACCACATACCTCGATAATCTCTTCCGAGTTATGAATAATGACCTTGACAGAGATTGGCTTTGATCGAAGAGCGTCTTGGTAGACTGACTACTGATGATCCGTATGTTATAGAGACATCCCTTTCACAATATGGTGATCTTGTTTATCCCGACAGGAGGAGTATCATTCATAAGTAATGTTCAACTTTAGTCTACAGCTTCTGGGATCTTTGTGGCAAGATTTTTTACTTTTATCCTCCTCTGAATGAATGACTGTATGCTTTTGGATCTATACGGTATAACTTTACGGTATACACCTGTCTGGGGGAACAGACTAGAGAAGTTTGTCATGTAGCTAATAAATGATGTACATTGTGAGTTGATTGCGTTCTACCACACATAACTATAGCTTTCTTACTTTTTGGTGCAGTTGGCTATAAGGCAAAGAGAGGTTTTATAAGCTTAGAATTTTTGTACTAGCTATATTCACACTTTTCTGTGGTTGATTCTGTTTTATCCAAACCCGAGTAGAACTATGAATCAGTCATTCTAAACACTTAAAATCTACATGATAAGTTATTAGTTATGACATATTATTAGTTGTTGTGCATATTAGAACTGTGCAAGGGACAAGTAAATATTCCAGATAGCATAGTGATTGCTGCTTTTATGGAAAACAGTTTCTTCCTTCTCTGTGCAATTATATTCCTTCTCTCCTTTACTAAAGAATGAACCTGCACATTTTGTTTTGCTTAGTGCCAGAATTTATTTTGTTCTCTAATCTGTTCAGTTTTATTTGTTGCAGTTATTGAAGTGTGTATCGAATAATTTTTAAAACGGAGTATCTTTGTCTTGTTCTCTTACAATATTTTAGTGTTGACTCAGGATTGAAGTGATCGATAAATGCTTTAGCCATGACATGGTCGAGGAAATTATTCATGCACTGGTAAGTTGGACAAGAGACCTTGAAAAGGACTCTTATGTTTATCGTTGGAAAGGCCATAATGCTTGACATCATACTGGTTTTTGAGATGGTGTGCCTGACGTTTTATTTTGCCAGATGACATGATAGTAGAATTGGGACTACAACTGAGAAATGCAATGAGTCAGCGTAGTTAATATCCTAGATGTTCTATTATTACCATCTTATTAAATTGGTATTGCTTAGGAAATTGAAGCAGCTGACTCTTATGATGAATGGTGTGCAATGACCCTCAAGAAACTAAGGGAAGCTTCTCCATTGAGCTTAAAAGTCACCTTAAGATCTGTGAGTTACCATCCTTTTGATTTTCTTCGTTGGACAGAGATTCCTTCTCTCAGACATTGAGTTGGTTATAATTATTACTTTCAGATTCGTGAAGGCAGATTCCAGACTCTTGATCAATGTTTAACTCAGGAATACCGAATATCCCTTCGTGGAATCTCTGGAGAAGTTTCCAAAGACTTTTGTGAGGTACACAAATCTTGGACATCCACTGCAATTGTATGATTGAATCTTGTGGGTTTTTTTTTTCTCTCTCTCCTTATCGTCAAATGATTGTACTCTTTGCCATCTGTGGGGCTGCAAAGATATAGTTTATGTGCTTGTTAATAGTGCTCTTTGCCATCTGTAGGGTGTTCGGGCATGGTTAGTGGATAAGGACTTCGCTCCAAACGTAAAATTAAGTCCCAATTTTTCCAACCTTACACATTTTCTCAATTTACATGACAGAAATTATTGTGGGTTTTTCAAATAATGTACAGTGGGATCCTCCAAGTTTGGAAGAAGTAACCAAGCAGATGGTCGACTTTTGTGTCTCTCCACTTGTATCTGAGCCTGAGCTAGAACTACCCACTGCCTCGTGAGAACCCTCTGTATGACAGATATATACCATCTTCAGTTTTGTTGGTTAGGTATTAAACTGTGTGATTTAATTTTATCTTGGTTCTTGCATTCCTCGACAGTTCGAGATCTGTCAATCATGTTTTCCTTATATGTTAAATCTTTATCCTAGAAATTTAACACAGACAAAGCACCAGCGCAATGAGATGAAAAAGCAACTCTACCTTAATCGCCAGCTCTCTCTCTCTCTCTCTCTCTCTCTCTGGTTTGTTGGTTACTTGTTTATGCGCTGCCAGAGTCTTTCTCAATGTTGCTAGGATTATTTGAAATTACACTCCAACAGAGCATTTTAGCGCAATAATCTTCTTTGCTGCTTCATTAAAGCTGGTGCAGAGACAATTTCATGTAGTTTTCGACCTCGAAATCAATAGTCATACCTATGAGGCGACTTCCATATATATAAAGGGGGAGAGCCACGGGAATAGGATCCAAAAGTACCAAAAACAGCAAATCCTCCAAGCATAGTGAAATGCTAAAATTACTATGTCAATATGGCCATCAGAAGTTCAAAGATCTACATAGTTGGTGGGGGGAAATACATCCAAACCTGCAAAGTTAGGCTAGAATTAATATGTTCAATGCACTTTTATCTGTATGACATGATAGTAGGTTACAATTATGACCACAGTGAATTCATTAGAGTTTGAATTTTCCTATTTTGGCTAAGTTGTTCTTGGTTCCAAAGTGCGAACGAGTCGAGAGAAAGCTTGATATCAGGGTCCTTAGAAATCATGGCCACAAGTGAAAATCCTTTCTCTGGGCTTGCTTGCTACAACCAAGCAATTCATGAGCAATTTAGCAGACAACGACGAACTACCAGATTATCAACTTTGGAGAACAATTCCCTTATCAACAAAAAGTGCACACTAGATGATGAAAAAATGACTTGTATACAAAATGCGTTAAGTCCGTTATTTTGGAAGTCACTGCTTCCAATATCAGGCAACCTCTTTTAAATCTCGGCCAATGAATGTTGACAGTGAGTACTGTTAACCAACCACCTAATCATTGGCTGAAAATGTTTATTAGTGCCAATCAGCTGCCTGTCGGTGCGTCAGTTGGTTTATCACATGCCGTCGAAGGTTGAAGAAACTGTCATACACAAGCCAAATATTAGAAAGTACTTTGTTAGTTGAACCATATGAAAATCAATTTGTACTACACTAGGAGAAAGACTTACCTCGGACAAATGGATAATGAATTCCCAACGCAAAGGAATATCCTATGCAACATGAGTTCTTGTTTCTGGAACACTTGGCCCTTGACTGGAGTTGCCTTTGATGTTGATCAAGAGGAGTCTGAAAGTTATCTTTTGATGCCATCACTTAGCTCTTAAATCAACCAAAATGACGAGACTTGACTTGGTCTTTCCATCTCCACGAATTCTGACTTATACTTCATATGCTTCTTCTGTTCTGACCTTCAAATAATTTCAGCTTTAAAGCTAGGAAAGTCACGGCTGCAGACACATTCCAATATGCTCACTAAGCATGTCTTGAGCCTATCAGAAAATGTTCTTGGTGGAGCAGGTTCATCAAGACCTGCAAAAACAGGTTCTTTAGTCTGTATGACATGAGAACAGTAGATCGAAACATAGATGATAGTGGTGAAATACTTTGGGGGTTCGAGTCTTGCTGCCCCATCTGATTTTGATTTCCAGGCGTAGTCCCTTCTCTGACATTGTCAATGGGAGGCTCTTCGTTAATTTCATGATCCCGTGGACTTGCGGATGGATGGAACTGAAGCTGAAGTCGGTGTCGGACTCTTGGGCGTCTCCTCTCCTACATGAAAAATGAGATTTTCTTAGCCAGTTTTCTAAGTGAGAAAATGCAGTTGTCATCAAATAAATCTTTTTCTTAACATTGGTTTCGCTATTTTCACAAACAAGGGTACAGCAAACTCATGGCTCCTATGTGCAAGACATCATGAGTCTATTACTGCTGAATGATGATTCAGTCGTCCATGTAGTGTAAACTCTCCCTTTTTCTTCCTTCAAAGTCGGTTTTACTTTTCCCAATTGAGTTCCTTTACGAAGCACATTATGACCTTCCATATCCCTCAGAATGTCCAGAAGTGAAAATCTCTAACCTTGAATTTCTTACATTCAGTTGACTGAACTTGAATGAATTTGTGAAAGAAGCAAAAGGAAAGGACAGTATTCTACAGGAAACTAAAATAAATATGCACTATACGATACATGACATATTTATTCAGTCTACGAGTTGGAAGTTCGGTTTTCATGTCTGTATGAACAGAAATTGTAGATAAAGTCAATGAATTGAGGAATATGACCAAAGAGAGGGGGGACCAAAGAAAATGGAAGGGAAAGCGCGTTGCCATTGCCTGTATCAGATATCTCCTCTCATATGGCGACTTTTGGTTTGTTATGGTAGGGGAAATTTGAGAATCCTAAATATTTGCAAATGAAAAAATGATTCTATAGACTGGTTGAAGACTGTTATAATTTTTGGTAAATTTACATTGTCGATTCAATTCTTGAACTTTCTATAAATTTATCTGAAATATGATAGGTGTGTGCAGTGGCGTGCTTCACTACTTATGTCAGAATAAGGTGTTAAAAAGAAATTTACATCTAGTTCGCATTTTAGGTGAAACTCTTTGGTGTTACGATAAAATCCCGGTTGAGGCTCACCTTGTTTGTCTCTGATGGAGGCGCACCTTGTTGAGCTATCCTTTTGTGACGCTTGAAAGTAATATGATATGCTGATGAAGAGTCGAGCGACTCCCTGCTGCGGATAACTCGTATTAGGCACTCATCCGGTATTTTCGAGTTCGATACGTCAAGCAGTGTTTCCAGTGAAGGACACTGCTCGACATCCAACCTAGTCAAAAACTCTAGTTCTTCAAGGCCCTTAACAACCCGCAGCTTATAGCACTCACGGATGGCCAAACGGTGAAGGTTCTTCAAGTTCGACATACCGCTTAACTTTTCCATAGCATTGCATCTTTCAATGGAGAAGTCTTGCAATGATAACAATGTACCGATGACTTGAATCTCAAGTAGTTTTTCGCAATGCTCCACATGAAGTTTTTTTAGTTTCTTCAAGGCATTGGGAAGAAGTACTCCCGGTGCACAATAGGTCGACTCCCTCGAAGAAGACTCTGATTGATCGAGGACCCCGAGAGATCCTACCTCACCGCATAATACTATTCTTTCAATTGACCCGCAGTGAAAGATATATAATTCCTCCAGTGATGACGACATACTAAGAAGCTTAATCTCAATCATATTAGGGCAATATCTTACTCTCAGTGTCCTTAAGCTACATGGTATGGATAAGCTCTGAAGGTCACACTTGTCCAAATGTAAGCTCTGCAATTGCAAAAGTCCATTGAGTTGAATTTCTTGCAATCGCGAGAAACCAAGCGTCAAATTTGACAGATTTTTCAAGTTGGATAGTGGCGATCCTGCCGAGCTGAAATTGTCAAGTTCTGAAGAAAGTAAAGAAGGCCGTGGCTGCTCGAGGGGCTGCAAATGTAGACCACTCAAAGCAAGGTCTTCTAGAAGAGAAAGGGAACCCAAGTCCGTAGGCGGTGCAGCGATATGGGGAAGACACAAGTCCAATTTCTTTAGTTTGGATAGCCTTCCAATCCACCCCAAGTCACATGTGTGCTTTAGGTTTGACGAATTTCGATAATAAGAGCCATCGGATAGGACCAACTCTACTAGATTGGTAAGCTTCGAGAGATTTGGGACCACCTGCAGTGAGCAAGATTTAACACGTAAATGGACTAAACTCGCTGGAAGTTCAGGTAACTCTGTAATCTCGTCACAACATGTTAAGTCAAGTGTTGAGAGATGAGAAAGCATGTGGATTGTTCCCGGAACTCCAGAGATTCTGGTCCAACATAAATCTAGGACTCTTAGAGAGGATAGATATCCTATTTCATCGGGAATTTCACCTACCAACTCTTTGCGATGACCAAGGTAAAGCTCCTCCAGTTTCTCCAACTTTCCAAAATCTTTGAGTAACCCCCATCGATTTGAATTTAAGTCAAACCCGCTACTTGACAAATCCAAAGTGCACAATGATTTTAATTTTCCAATGGAATCCGGAAGTTGTTTAATCATAGTGTCTTTCAGACAAAGATGTTGCAGTTCCACTAACCCTTCAATTGTGTTTGGAATTTTAGTGATTCTTGATTCTAGTAGGTTGAGATTTGACAAACACCGTAGCTTTCCGATGGAATCCGGCAAGCTTGAAATTCTAATGTTTGAAAGGTCCAACTTCCTTAATGATGCTAAGTTACCGATAGAGGTGGGTAGTCTGCACAAAAAGTAGCAGCTCTTCAAAGAGAAGCGCTCGAGCTTCACTAGCCCTCCAATATCTTCAGGCATATCTTTCAGGCGCTCACAATGGGTGATATTCAAGTCAAGCAAGTATTTTAGCTTTCCAATGGAGCTATCGATTTCCTTCAACCTCCAACAATAATCAAAAGTTAACCTCTCTAAAGTCGGGCATTTCGACAGGTCTGGAGTTCTAGTAATGCGACGACATTCTACAAGAGCTAGACTTTTAAGTTTGGTTGCCATCTGCAAAATGGAAGTATAAACGTTACAAAAAGAAGCCAAACAATGTACAAGACAACTGTTATAAATTGAGATGGAATCCATACCTTAATTAAGTCCCATACTTTCGAATCATCTGTGAAGTCATTGGCAAAAAGTTCAAGGACAAGTAAATTCTTTACATGCATATTAGCCACACTACAATCTGGTGGAAGAGAAGACCAAGAAATCCATCTCAACTTTGGTAGATAAACGGTGAAATCCCCTAGAAAGGACCCATTGGATAATCTCAGGAACCTCAAACTTTCAAATCTTTCAATTTCTTCTTTGCTAATAAAGATATGAGAAGGCCTTCCCCGTAGATCAAGTGCTTCAACCATTTTCTTCCTCTGCCAATAAATAATTGCAGTGATCAGTAGAAGTTTGTCAGTAACTAGTAATTTCATTTATGATTTGAATGAATGAAATGGAAGAAAAGATCATGAGCAGAAAGTTGAATCATCAAACGCAGGATGTCACTTTTTTCATTTGAACCCGACAGTTGTCTTACCTCTTTGGTTTTTATGAAATCAAGGACCTTCTCGCTAGTCCATAGCCTACTCCGCTTCCCAAGATTTGTAAGATTTTCTAAACAAACAAGTTCCCGCCCCAGGTCTCTCAGTTGGTCATGCATCCAAATTTTGTTATCCTTTATCTTTATCAAGGACATTTCAACAAGGACATCAATTCCCGAATTAGGATAAAATTCACAATCCTCCCACATGTAATTGGCATTAGTAATATCTGCATTGATCAAAAAGCATGCGACATCGAGAAAAATTTTGCGCTGACGATCTTGTAAGGCCTCATAGCTAATCATCAACTTCTTTTGTACATCTTTATGTGGTATTTTCTTTAACTGTTTTAATGTATCCTCCCATTTCACTTTGGGCTTTCCACGAAGTAATGAACCTGTAACTTCAAGAGCCAAAGGAAGGCCCCCGGTAGTAGAGACAATTTCTCTTGAGAGGCTGTCAAAGTCCTTTGTCAGAGAGCCTTCAAGAAACGCATGCCTAACGAAAAGTTGGAGTGCACAGTCACCATTCATCTGGTTCATTTCATAAGCCAGAATTTGGAATGCATAGTCAGAATTCATCTCCTCCAGTACACTTGTGTTCCTAGTGGTGATAATTATTCTTGTTCCGGGATGCAGCAACCAATGTTGTCCAATTAGATTTTCGATTTGTTGTTTCTCATCAACGTCATCAAGAACAATTAGAACCTTCTTATTGGCAATTGTTTCCTCTATCCTCTTCCTTCCGTGAGCAACTCCACCAATAATTTCTGCAGAGCTAGAACTAGCAATTTCTGTTAGTAGCTTCTTCTGCAACCAAACTAAACCCTCCTTCTCTGACGTTTCTCGAATATTGTCAAGGAAGGCACAACATTTTCCAAAGCGAGAAGAAAGTTCATTGTAGACGACCCCGGCTAGAGTGGTTTTACCGATACCCCCCATTCCATGAAGTTTAAGCAGCCTCACTTCATCATTACAATTAACATCTAACAATTCCAGTATTTCTGCCACTCGATCATCAAGTCCAACTAAATCTTTAGTCACAATCTTATGTTTTCTCTTCAGACTATACAAAACCTCTTTAACTGCCGACTTCATAAGTACCGCTTTGCTGCCACAAATAGAAGCCAGTTCATTAGTTACAAAAGCTATATCGATCATGTAAATTAACATGTATGTGTCACGGCCCAAAGAATTGGATCGTTCCTGAGGTTTTCTGGATGATGGACCGTGACCGACCCTTGGACGAAAAGGCGGGCCCCGAGTGTTCTAGTACTAGGGTTTTCTTGATGTCTTCTAGAATACTCCTGGGGTGGGCGATACGGTAATTGTACCCTTCCGTAATAAATGCGGTAGGTGGGGTAGTTGGGAGAAAACGATCTCGACCGTTGAGATCGGAGAGAGATCTACAGATAAGGTCAGCCCGATACTTGTATATAATGGGTCTCCTCCCCCTCATTTTATCATCTCTCATTTTCAAGAAACAATACAAGTTGAGAGCTTCTCTCTCTAGAGTTTCTCTCTCTAAAGTTCTTGTGAGTGTGAGTGTGGGAAGGCTTACTTGGGGAGAAATTCCTAAAGCCGCACGGGCGTGGAAACGCTAGATCAATCGGCCCGTGACATATGCTTCTAAATCCAAAAAAAAGGTGTACTCCCTTTATTTATCCTTAATAAACCTTGTATGATTGTACTTGTAATTTTTTTTTAAAGACGCGAAGATTTGCTAATTTATTTATCTCCTGACGTCCCTTGCATAGGACGGGCTTGATTCTAGAGCCAAAAAGGGCAGGGATCTTTAGAGCTTACCTTTTGCATTGTGGCAGCGCCCAGCCCTTGATTTTATCGACCTTCTTAAGAACCTCCTCCCAGGATTCTCCCTCCCAGGATTCTACTTCGTGAGGAGACTTCTCCTCCTGCTTCTTCTCGTGCTCCTTCTTATGCTCCTCTATGGCCGTTTTGTATAATGGGGTTTTAAGGGCAACATCATCTGGCTTCACATCGTAAAAAACGGGTAGGATTTTTTTCTCCTCTGACTTGGATGTGTTGTCTACCATCCTTGCGAGCTCACGGAGACACCATTTGCTACTAGCATAATTTCTTGAGAAGATGGGTATATAGATCAGGGAGTTGTCGATTGCTCGCAGGAGCTCTCCACCAATTTCTTCGCCGACTCGAAGTTCTTCATCATCTATGAAGACATGAATACAATTCTCTACCAAGTCTTGATAAAGGAAGTCGGTGAATCCATCTCGAGTATCTTGACCATGGAAATTCAAGAACACTTGATACTGACCTCCTCTTGCATTGCTGCTACTCGTTCCGGCATCCGAGTTCGCCATTGGAGCTTTACTTTGGAAATTAAGGTCTCTCTCTATTCTCTCTGTCTTCTCTCTCTCGGAACGTTGCTCGCTAACTTCAAGAAAAATCAAGGTCAGTTTGATCTAGACCTCGCTTGACTTTTTGCAGTAAACGTGTAAAATAAAAAATAATAATAAAACTGGCAAATAAAAAGAAAATCTATATTTTCACTAAAGTAAAACAAAAGATACATAGAGTACTTAAAAACTCGTTGATCTAGTCGTCACGAATCCCCCAATCTGCAATAAGCGAGTACAACATTTGGGCAACACGCGCGCGCATGTGCTCCGCGCGCGTGTGAGTGTGTGGCGCGTGAGGACCGAGTGAAGAGAAAGATGTCCGCCTGTCAAATCACGAGGACGCGCAGTGGATAAGGATGAAAGAAAAGACAAAAAACAATGGGCTCCACAAAAATTGATTAGATAAAAATTGATTAGATTTTTATAATGGAAAGACAATTAAATCAAAATAATGTACTGGTTCTATAAAGTGATCCCCGTTCTAATAAAGTTACAAAACAGAACAGAAAATTCAATTTTCGCTTAAGACTCCATTTATTAAAGTTACAGGACGAACCAATAGGATCGGAGATCGCGCGGACCGGACCGAATTTATGGGTCCTGTGCGGTTTTAGAAAGTGTCGGTGTGGTTCTCGATTTCAGGATGAGAATTGGACCGATTATATATATATATATATATTCCTTCAAAAAATTAAGTAAAATAAAATTGGACTGTGAAACCCTAACTTCGCTTCAGTCCTTGACAATCGACTCCGTGTCCTCCCTTCCGAAATTCTCACCAGCATCAGTTTGTCGTTTGCCGTCCGCGGTCATCTCTCCTTTGGCTCATCCACCCTCTGCGGTTGTCTCTCCTTTGTCCCGTCGTCTCTTCTTTCCCAGGTTTTGTCGTTGCGAGCTTCAACTCGCATTTGAATGATCAATTTCTTTATAATTGTGGCACTTTATTGATCGCTTGAAAGCTTATGACATCAAAATGAACACCGTAAGAGAGTTATGACACTGTTAATAGGATTTGTTGACCTGATTTTCTTTCATCTGGTCAATATAATCCCACCCAACTCCGGTTGTGCCTACTTAGGATTGTTCGATTGGCTCAAAGAACTAAATTGTATTTGTCGAGTTCGACATGTTTGGAAATAGAGAATTTGAGCACCGTGGATCGTGGCACAAACAACTCCCCTTCTGTCACACCCCAACTCCTACAAATACAGAGACCTTAACGTGTTTTGGTCATTCGATGACCATTTTGCTTGACTATAAAACCAACTTTTCACTTTCCTGCCTCATTGGTCTCATGAAGTACTTTCCTAAAAAGGTCCTAATTGGGTTTACGGCTTCTCGGGACATCCATCAGCCAGATATGGCATCAATTCGTGGGAATTTACTTCAAACAGCATCCCTCTGTCAATCAAATTGCAAAATTCTTCGACCAAAAAAAACTGCAAAATTCGCATGTTGATGACAGTTCTTGCAGCATGTCTGTTGCTACTAATGGCTTCTTTATCGAACGTCTCCGAAGAGACAATTGCTACTGATGGCTTTGCAAACCGTAAAATATGGGTTTCCAGAGTCAAAAAGTCAAAAGGTGGAAAAGCAAAAAGAAAAAGAAAATTGAACGTTCAACTCATTAAAAAGGGAAAAGGAGAGGCCGAGAGAGACCGAGACCCACGGAGAGGAAGGAGAGGAAAGAGAGGAAAAAGAAAGAAAGGAAAAAGAAGAAAAAGGAAAAAGAGATGCACGTCACGTACACGTCAACCCATGTGAAACCGGATTTACTATTCCTTTTTCATTTTCCTTGACGTGTACGTGACGTGACGAGTACATGACATGCAAAGTCCACTCTCTTTTAATGTTACAACCTTCCACATAATTAATAAATAAGCCGTCACACTTTAAAAAAAGATTAATATCACGAAAAATCCTAAACTGGTACACTTACGATAGATTTACCTCAAATTATTTTTTTGACCATAAAAAATTCAAATTGGTACATTTGTGATAATTTTACTCCGAACTATTTTTTTGACTATCAAAAACCCCAAACTGGTACATCTGTGACAATTTTGTTGAAGGAAAACTCCTATTGATTTTGAAGTTGACAAAACCTTCTATGTTATTGTAAATCGATACTTATTCGAACTAATCTATTACAGTGCGTATATTCGAAACTCGGAAGAAAGTTATTCGGACTTTTCAATCATCGAGTATGTTTTTGAAGACCCACATAATCGAAGTTACGAGATTCGAGCAGAAGTTATTCAAATGCAGAAGCAGAAGTTATTCAGATGCAGATGCAGACGAAGAAATTATTCAGACGCAGACGCAGAACTTCTTCTGATACAGACGTAGAATTTCTTTAGACGCAGAATTCAGAACATATCACAACAGCTAGTGATCTGGCATGGATTTTACAGAAGCAATGTTCTGATTGTCTCAATCTTAATCAAAATGATTGACAATCAAACATCACGACAAGAATGCATTACAACGGACAAAGCTCTACTTATGGAAACCAAGATTCTGATTGTATGGGCGACCAGAATCAGCGGGATTCAGAATCTGTCATCCAACGGCTACTCAATCCTTTCTATACAAATCTGTCCAAGGTGAAGATTGGAAGATGATCCTCTGAATGCTGTCCAACGGCTAGTTTTGGAAGTAGAGGAATATTTAAGGAGATCAATGAGCAGCAGAAGGATACACAGAATCAAGAATCAACAAGTCTAAAGTCTGAGCATACTCCAATCATTTCTCTTGTCGTTCTAAGCAAAACATTAAGATCTTGAGGGACACTTTGTAAGAGTGATTGTGTGAGATAGAGAGTCCTATCATACACAAGATTGTTAACACTCAAAAGTTGTAATTCCTCTTGATTACATAGTGAAATCCAGCCGGTAGGCTGTAAGCGTGGGAGAGTGGACGTAGGCTTGCTATAAGCCGAACCACTATAAACTTGTGTGCAGATTCTCTATCCCTTATCTCTTACTTTACATTCTGCACATCAAGAGCACCGTCTTTATAATCTGTCTTGAATCTGAATTTTATTCAGACTCTACTGTGATTTATTTTGTTTCCGCATAAATTATCAAAAATTGTTTAAGATCACCTATTCACCCCCCTCTAGGTGATCCTTGCTAGCTACATCAATTGGTATCAGAGCAGGTTGCTCATTTATTGAAGTGTCTTACTTCTGAGCTAACGATCTATATGGCTAGCTATGGTGCTCCAGGGCTCATTGAAGGACAGAGCAACAACAGACCACCATATTTCGATGGCAAGGAATATAGTGTCTGGAAGAATAAGATGAAGGCATTCATAAAGTCAATTGATCACATGCAATGGGATGTCATCATCAGAGGAGTTAATCCAAGATCTTCTGATTCAAAAGAAAAGGCAGAAGCAAGCATAGTAACAGATCCTCCATTATCTCAAACTGAGATATCCAAAAGAGAAACCTTAGATTCCAAAGCAATTTATTCTCTCTATTGTGCTTTATCTCCTATTGAATATAAAAAAATTGCTGCTTGTGAATCAGCTAAGGAAATCTGGGATACTCTCATTGTCACTTATGAAGGAGCAGATCGAGCCAAGGAAACTCAAATCAATCTTTTGCTTGGTCAATATGAATCCTTCAAAATGAAGCCTGGAGAATCAATTGCTGATTTGTATGACAAGTTTACTGATATAGTAAACGGTCTTGCTTATCAAGGACAACCAGTTCCAGATGCAATGAAAGTCAACAAACTGTTGAGAGGACTGACAAATCAGTGGGATAACATCAAAACATCTCTTCGAGAGACACAAAGGATTAAGCCTCTATCAGTGAATGAGTTAATTGGAACTCTTCAATCATATGAGACTGAGAAACGGAATGAGGAGATTGAATCCAAAGGTAATAAATCAATTGCTTTGAAGACTAACATTGATTCTGATGCAGATTCTGAAGATGAAGACGTTGGTGATGAAGAACTAGCTCTCTTTATAAAGAAGTATAAGAAAATGAAGATCAAAGGAAGAAACCTCAGAGGTAAGAAGCCTTTTGAGAAGAAGAAGTCTTTCAATGAAACCGAGAGATCGAAGGATGTTATATGCTTTCACTGTAAGAAACGTGGACATATCAAGCCAAATTGTCCACTTCGAAAAGAAGACCAAGTTTGAGAAAGCAAAGAAGGCCTTAAAGGCGAACACGGAGGTGACACGAGTGTGAAGACAGTGATGAAGATATCTCAAATTTACGTCTAATGGCTAAGTCGGACTCGGACTCGGATTCGATTCGATCCCAAAGTGGAGATTGAGGTAAAACATTCTGACATGCCTATTGAAGTATCAAATTACATTGATGAATTATGCTTTGAATTCAAGACTGCTCTTAAATGCATCTCTTCTTTGAAAAAGGAAAATTCATCACTGAGGCAACAGGATGTTTCACAAAAAGAAAAAATCGATTTCCTTCAAAAAGAATTTCATCAAGTCAAGGAAAGTCGAGATTTTCTTTCCAAAGAAAATGCGATTTTGAAAAAGCAAGTTTCAGAAATTACTTCCAAGTTTTCAAAGGGTTCAGAAACCTTGAAGCATATCCTTTCTATCCAAATTCCTTACTACAACAAATCTGGCCTCGGATTTGTGAAGGAAAGTGATAGCTTGATTGATTTTCCAAAGGTCAAGGAGAGATTAAAACAAAGACCTCCTCGACAAGCTTATAAAAACCATTTCAAAAGGAATTTTGTAAAACCTGTTGGCCGAAGTGCACTCAGGTGCTCAAAATGTGGAGATCCACAACATTTTGAGAATGAATGTCCTAAGGTCTGGAGACCTGTTAGAAGAGATTTTGTTAAGACAGCTTATACTAATACTCAAGGACCCAAACAAATTTGGGTACCAAAGAAAACTTGAGATGTTGTGATTTTTGCAGGTTACCACAAAGAGAAAAAGGAAGTGGTACCTAGATAGTGGATGCTCTAGACATATGACAGGAGATCCAAGTATATTCGTTGATCTTCACAATCTGAATGGTGGAAAAGTTTCCTTTGGAGGAAATACCAAAGGAAAAATCGTT